AAAAAAAAAAAAAAGGTGTGCTCACATCTAAATTAGCTTCCAACAAAATTAAATAAGTAAAAATATTACTTTAAACTTTAAAGTTTAAATTAGCTTCCATAGAGTTTAGTTAGACGTGCCCGGTGCCGGTACCCGGGCGGGGTCGAGTCGGGCCACGGGCCCTCCAACACATGGCCTGCAACCGGCCTGCCTAAAAACCAATGGCCGGCCCGAACCGCCGATTCACCGACCGGCGGTTCACGGGCCGATACGGCCCTTAAAAAAGAACTTTAACAAGGTGGCCCGTCGTCCGACTCGGCCCGACCCAATCCGGACCGGCGAAACCAAAATAAAAAAAAAAAGGAACCGGGACCGAACCGCGGCCCTATGGGTCCCGGTTCAACGAACCGGTCTTTAAGAGGCCGGTTCGGGTCGGGCCGGTACCGGTTCGCATGTCGGGCCACGGGCCGGTTCGGCCCGCGGTCATGTCTAAGTTTAGTAGTGTACTATGCACTTTCCAGAATTAGACAATTTTGTTTTAGTAATCCTATAAAAATGGAACCTATTTAAATATCGACATTTTGATGTCATATTAGAGACACTTTATTACTAATTAGATTAAAGTAGTTACATATTTTCTCCTTTTTTCTAAATATTTTATTTGTTTTTATTAATATTTTGGAGGGAAAGGGTTTCGGATTCTTGATTAGTTGATTTTCAGTAAATGTACACCAATAAAAGAAATTAAATAAACGATCCATTGCATGCATGAACGAACCACAAATTAATACAATATATAGAAGTGTAAACGAGCCGAGCCTAACTCAAACTTCTAATATTCAAGCTTGGGTTGGAGCTTTTTTTTACACGAGCTGACTAAACAAGCTCAATGACCTCAAACTCAGCTTACATATCAATATTAACGAGTCTTACTTGAATCTTAATAAGTCGCGCTGTTGAAAATTGATATAACCCTTATTTTATGTATTAAAATTAAATAAACTTGAATTCAACTTCCAGTGGAGATCGAACCGAGACGAACTCAAGAACAACTCATTTCATTTAACAACTCCAAATGTATTTATTGTCATAAGCTTTTTGTAAAAGGAGATTAAATTTTCCAAGCGTATGTTTGGTAAACCAAATAAGCTAGCTTATAGCTTATTTGGTTAGCTTATAAGCTTCTTGTATTTAAATAAGCCTCGTTTGGTAAGACAAGCTTATTTAAAAAGCTCGAGCTTATTTGATAAGCTTGTTTGGGTAGCTTTTCAAATAAGCTAGTTGAATTTTTTTATTCCAGCTAGCTTATCATCTCATTTTACCAAACACTTTTATCATATAAGCTAGCTTTTCAGCTATAAGTCATAAACTATAAGTTATAAGCTCAAAAATTACATATAAGCTATAAGCTAGCTTATCAGCTAGTTTTACCAAATATAGCTCAAATCTTATTTCCTTCCAAAATTATTTACATTTTGTGCATAGAAGTACAAGAAGAAGTGTGCTTTTGTCATTTACCTTTTTAAAGGACAAAAATATTTGCCTGAATAATAATAATAATAATAATA